CTTCCTCCTCGTCTGCTTTTCCTTCCACCCCGGTCCCTGGTCTGTGGGATGGATAGTGCTGCCCTCTTCCAGGTGGGTCTTCCCCATCTGACCCACGTGACATTCTTCTCCGGAAACATCCTCGCAGACACACGCAGATGTGGGCTTTACTAATCTTCTAAGAGTTTCTCATCCAGTGAAGTTGACTATAAAGACTATCACCATGGCCAAGTGGTACAGGTCACCAGCCTAGATCTGACAAGAAGATCCAAGGTGGAGACTCAGCCCTGTACTTACCTGGTACCTAGGAAGAGCTGGGGAATGTCACAAAGACACACAACTCAAGTCTAGCAGTACCCATTGCCTGGTGCTCTGCAATTGCTTCAAAACACGTGTACTGAAGGAAGACATCATTCAAGTTTGCTGCACATCTTTCTACCTCCTCTTTTCTTAGTTTCTTTGTACAAAGCCTTTGCCTCTTTTCACTAGCCATTGACAGAGACATCTGGCCCAAGTAGACAGGAAGCAAAGTCAATGGCAGAATGTGGAGATAGGAGCTGAGGGTGTACGGAAGGTGGGGCTGAGGATAGCAAGGTGCCTATAAGCTTTGAGAACGGTCCAAACTCCAGTGTGGGGACAGCTGGGGGAGGTGCCATTTCTAGTTGTGGTTGGGTTTCCTTTCTAGACCACGGAATTATCCCTGTGTTGAATCAACCCATATGACTGGAGCTCATCCAATGTTAAGAGAAAGCAGGATGGAAACAAGATTGTTGCCTGCACCTGTCCTGTCAGGATAAGTCAGGTAGAAGCCCGGAGAAAGCAGCTCTAGCCTTCTGCTTCCTAGTGTGGCTTCTGGGGAAGAAGAACGAGGCAGAGAGAAAAAGAACAGGGTATCAAGAGGCACCCTCCCAGGTCTCTGACCCCACAGGGACTCAGTCTGGTACACAGGTAGTATAGCCCTGTCTCTCCACTGCAGACGGAGGCTACAAACTTCCAGACTCTAAAGCGTGTTCCTGCCTACACCGGGGAAAATGTGCAGGAGATGGTAAAAGCCCTTTGTGGCATGGCCACATTTCTAGATGTTCAGATGTGTGAAGGGCACTGCTGGCAGCAAGCACCTATTCTCTATTTGTTTCAAAACGAGAGTACTCCCTGTATGGGAAAGCAAAGCCCAGACGTTTTTGCTGGGTAGGTGTATCCTTTTTTTAGGCCCTCTGACTAGCTAAAGTATTTGTTGATTTCCATCCCATCATTTCAATCAAGAAAGGGGGGATTTTCAACGACTCAGTATGCATGCCACTGGCAAAACACCCTTGAAGGGAGGGAAGAACATTCCCTAAGCTTGCAGGGGCCTGTTAGAAAGAATCTGAGTGCTCTGTTCTGTAGCTTTTATCCTGCAAGTGCCAACCGCCTGCTAAATCTGAGGGACAGGGCCAAAGCTGCTCCCCACAGCCCCTGTGTGCTACCCCACCCTTCCTGCTTGCCCCAGCCAGCTCAGCACTAAAACCACGGTCTGCATGGTCCACTCCAACAAAATCATGTTATTTTCCTCCCGGGTCAATGGACTGGGAGGGGGTATGAGGGGCTAAGCAGCACAATTAGGGTTCTAGAATATTTCAAGGGCTATTTTAGGACCAAGCTATGGTCCAGAGTGAGGCCATGATTAGTGAAACATACTTACACAAGAAAATTCAATGACCTCTAAGAGGTCACTTGTTACCATGGCTCCAGTCATGGCATCAAGGCTGACTTGAGTCAAAGCCAAACGACTGCTTTATTTTCTGGGCATTTGCATTTCTGCCCAGGTGTCTTCTCAGACTCAGGTCTCAAAGTCCTGGAGAGTTTAGCATGGTCTCTAGCATTACTAGGCATCTGACTTCTCAGCTCCACAACCTGGTCAGTTCTCCTTATCCCTGCAATCCTGAGACTCCTACTGAACCCAAAACTGGGCCCCAGAGTTGTGGGGGTAAAACACCTGCAGCTTTGGGTGAAGGCAAGAAAATTCTTCTTTTCTCAATTCTTCCCTAAGGCTAGACTTTGTTAAGAGTTGACTGGGGCTGGCTCACTGCTCCAGCTGCCCTTCCCCATCCTGTGAATCTGGCTCCAGGCTCCTGGATGGGACTGCCAACCACAGCCATTGAATAGGGTGACTCATGACTTAACTATTGCTCCCCATGTTTTGTGCAGAACATTACGGGATGGATGAGCTGCAAAGATGAAGACAATATTGCTTGCCATCTTTCCTGGGCCTGAGATAGGACTTGGGGACTACAAGGGCTCCAGGATGTTGTCAGGGCTAGGATGTCAGGAAGAGAAGTGGAGGGAAACCCATAGGTTAAGGGTGCATCTTGTCCTCAAAGGGTGCTCAGTCTGAAGGGGACAAAAAGCCTTGTCCTGTAGACATGGTCCAGAGGCAGAAGCAGCCGGGCAGCTCTCTGGAACTCAGAGCAGGGATGGGGAAGGCTCTCTCACACAGAAACCTGGGGAAGGAGTAGAGGGAGGTGACCCTGTATCTGTCAAATTAACCCAGGAAAAGTTTGTAGAACTCCCAATGAAGGTAATGCAAGTTCCTGACTTAGGGAATTGTACACTTGAGGCAGCATGGCAGGTATGTGCAAAACCATATCTTCTTTACTAGCTTCTACTAAGTATCTTCTCTCAAAGACAAACAGGTGGGTCCCAAGGAGAGGGTCCTAGGAAGGTCCTGCGGGTTTACCTCCTTCTCATCCATGAGGTGAACTAGTCTCCACATGCAGTCAATGAGGTGCTGCCTGATCATGAAGCAAACAAAGTCCATAATCTTTATAATCTTCTACAGCAGAGGAGGGAGGCCAGCAGGGCAGTTGTTGGAAACCCCTCAGTCCTATAACAGTTCTGCTGATGAAATCAGAAGCTAGCGTTATGTCTGACCATGTCCTGGCACTTCTGGGAGTGCCCTGCAGAGAGCTCAGGGAGTCAGCATGATCCCTTTCTTCCTGCCCACAGGGATTCCAGGCGGGGGTAGGACTCTCATTGAGCAGAGGGGTTGGTGCCTGGTTCTCCACAAGTTTCTCCATTACTTACACCTACCAGGTCTGACAAGGTAGGAAGGCCCACACTGTCTGCTGGAGGAGGCTCCCACGGAGCTGGGACAGAGCTCTGCTTCTTCCTTGTGAGGCAGCCAACATACCCTGCTATGGTTACTTGCCACCCTCAAGCCTCTGGTCCCTGGCCCCTGGATCTGAGCTTGGTATACTGTAGCAAGGCTCAGATCAGCCAGAACGCATTCCTGTCCTGCCAAGCCCTCCCTTTTTCACAGCACAACCACAGGAGTGTGAATGGGGAAAGAGAATGTCCAGTGTTTCTCGAGGGGTCGAGCTTCCCTCAGGGCAGTGGGGACAGTACTCAGTGCTGTGTGTGTAGCAGGGCATACCCTGACAGTGATTTCCCAGCATGGAGGGGATAGTTCTACTAGGAGCCCCCAGGTAATTGCCTCAAACCTAGAGTTGTTCATCTCAAAGGATGAGGATTCTCAGTGTATCTTGGGACACTCACACCTGGTCTCCAAAGAATAACACTAGTGAACAATTCATCTCTGAGGGTCTCAGAAACCCTTCAGGCAGGGAAGCCTGTTGCCAAAGACCTGCCAGGCCAGCTATATCTTGTGAACATTATGGGATTATTTATCGGCAGCTTTCTCAGCCCCAGCCTCTGGCGAGCATCACCATCTCCACTGATCCACAGCACCCAGGAGTCATTTCCCACAGCTTTAGCTTCCTTATAGCAAGCACAGGCTCTGCAGAGATTCCTGAGCCTGGCCTGCATCCTGATTCCTGTGCTCCTGAGAATATGGCCCCTCAGTTTTCCCCACATCACTCCACCTCCGGCTCCAGCTGAACAGGGCTGAAGAGTCCTGCTTTTCTCTGGGACAAGGCAGAGAGGTGACCCCACTCAAATATGCAGCCAGAAAGAAAGGGTGTGGCTTGGGACAGACACTTGCTAAAATCTAACCTGAGCCCCCATTTCTTTCGTCCGGTGCCACAAACTTTGAAGGGGAATCTTCTGGAAGCTCTTCCTAGAGCAGATTATTGTGCCAACTGCCTGGTCCCCTAAACCTGCTCTGTCTAGTCTCTCTGGAAGTTGATTCACAGGCTTAAAACTGTTTTTTCCATGCCCTTGGCCCTGAAGGAGGCTTTGGACCGGAGCTTAGAGGAACAGCAGCAGTTCCTGCTGCTTGGAACAGGGTGGTTCGCCGTTATAACAGGCGGGCTGATTCTCAACATGTTCCTGATGAGATTAGAAGCTCCTACAGGTATGTGTTTGTGGCGGCCTCCAGCCTGTATCAACAGATACGATGACTCATTTCTTCCCTGGTGGAATAACTGAGAACTTGCTGGAACACACCTGGGGGACTGGGGGAGCTGGCAGAGCAGCTCCCCCAGAAGAGAGATGAAACTGTCAGTCCAGAGTTAAGACTGTTGTTGGTGAAGGATTAAGTAGGGGTCCCTGGTTTACTAAGCCCCACATAGGCCTGTCCAGGCCGGTGAATAAAGAGAAAGTGGAAGGTACACAGGAGGCTGAGTTAGGAGGAACTGTGGAAGGATGTGCAGGGCTTAGAAAGAACAAAATGGTGCTCAGCCTGGGTCCACATCCTCTGTTTCCAGAGCTGGGGGCTTATAGGAGCTTTTTCTGGTCTGAATCTTGCAGACCTGCCTCGTGGTATCTGGGGAGACTAGCCCTCTCCTAAAGAAAGTACTGTGCAGGAGAGTGTTGGACTCTGTGTCTCTCCCTAGAACATACTCAAAATGTGAGGCCAGGAATTGCCTTCCAAGAGCTCAGGTTCCCGCAGCTTTAGCTACCTAGCTGTGTAAGAAGAGCAGATTGTTGCCAGGTGAGGGACCTACTCTGCAACACTGAAAGACAGCATCCCCTAAAGTGGCAAGGCAGTATGCACCAGGCAGGGACGGTGGGTCATGCCACTGATCCTGTAAGAATCCCTAAGACAAATGTCCCTTATTTCCTGGCATCCTTCTAGGCTGTGGGTCCCATGGTGAAGAGAGACTGCCACAGCACCCCCAATGGCTGCCAGGATGTCAGTGCTCCAAGGCAAGGCTATTTCTAACTGAGCAGAACCTGCCCGGAGGAGTCTGTATCCCACACCACTGTGCAGGTGTGCCAGGTGAGCTCATAACTGCCCCCCAGGCATGCCCAGCCCACTAATCATTCACAGCTCAACAGCTGTCCCGCCCAACCCAGTTCTGAGGGGATAAAAGAGGGCCTTGCCAACTCCAGGGTAACAGAGCCACCCACAGCGTCCTGTTGAGCGCCGTTCTCACCAGCACCTCCCAACCCACCAGTGCTCCTCCAGGAACAAACCATCATGTCTCGCCAGTCAAGTGTGTCCTTCCGAAGTGGGGGCAGCCGCTCCTTCAGCGCCGCCTCTGCCATCACCCCGTCTGTCTCCCGCACCAGTTTCAGCTCCGTGTCCCGCAGTGGTGGTGGTGGTGGTGGTGGCAGGGTCAGCCTTGGGGGTACTTATGGAGCGGGTGGCTATGGCAGCCGGAGCCTGTACAATGTGGGGGCCTCCAAGAGGATATCCTTCAGCTCCAGCGGTGGCAGCCTCAGGAACCGATTTGGTCCCGGTGCTGGACCCATGTTTGGCTTTGGAGGAGGAGCCAGCAGTGGATTTGGCTTTGGTGGTGGAGCTGGTGGTGCCTTTGGGTTCGGTGGTGGAGCTGGCTTCGGTGGTGGCTATGGGGGCGCTGGCTTCCCCGTGTGCCCACCTGGAGGCATCCAAGAGGTCACCATCAACCAGAACCTCCTCACTCCTCTGAACCTGCAAATCGACCCCACCATCCAGCGGGTGCGGACTGAGGAGCGAGAGCAGATCAAGACCCTCAACAACAAGTTCGCCTCCTTCATCGACAAGGTGAGACACGTTCCTTAGTAGACAATCGAGTGTTTAAATGCTGAACAGGGGAGGCTTTAGGCTTTGCTCCAGTGCCACCGTTGTTTCTAGCTGGTTTTCTGTGGCTTTGTGCTCCTATTTAGGCTGGCCGATGAAAGGCAGGGTCTGATTTCCTCTCCTCCAGAGGCTGCCCCATAAGGGTGCCTGATCACAGTGCACAGGGATGAGCTCAGTGCCTCACATAACGGGAAGACTGCACAGAGGCAGAAGCAGCCGCAGGGCAGTCAGCTTCCCAGATCCCCTGCACTGGACCACACTGCAATGAGCCACTGCAGTGCTGGCTGTGCAGTGCAGGAGGGACTTGGCTTCAGTAGAGGGGGGATGTTGGGAGCTTCACTCCAGATTGTCCCTCTCAGAACCAGGGCCAGGCACTGCACACAGGGTGGGTTTGGGGAGATAGCCTGTGATGGAAGGCACCTGCTGGCGAAAGGGTCAGAAGCACAAAGCCCAGACTTGTCCTTCTCACACCCGGCCCTCTCCAGGTGCGGTTCTTGGAGCAGCAGAACAAGGTCCTGGACACCAAGTGGACCCTGCTGCAGGAGCAGGGCACCAAGACTGTGAGGCAGAACCTGGAGCCGTTGTTCGAGCAGTACATCAGCAACCTCCGCAGGCAGCTGGATGGGGTCCTGGGAGAGAGAGGCCGTCTGGACTCAGAGCTGAGGAACATGCAGGACCTGGTGGAGGACTTCAAGAACAAGTGAGTGGGACAGTAGTGGAAAGAGAGGCATTGAGGGTTTTGTACCATACAAGCTTTGCAACTAGATTTCTCCTTATGCCTTCTCCATGGGCTAGAAGGATGTGCCTTCAGTGGATATCTACAGCACTAAGAGGAAAACAATCTAGGTCTTTGTTTAGAAAGTTCCAGCTCCAGGCTCAGCCTCTCCGTAAGGCACTTAGCCAACCCCAGAGCAGCCCTGTGTGATCCTAGCACCACCTGGTGAACTGTGCAGTACTGGAATCCCCAAATCCTGTGGCTCTTTTCCCAATGCACTCAAAATAGGCAGCATGGGCTTTGGGTCGTTTCTACTTAAAGTAGGAACGAATGGCAGCACCCAGCTCAATGTTTCTAAGAATTCCTTTACTCATGTGAATCATCACTGGGATGCTAGTGTTTTTGTTTCGGGGGAGGGGGTTGTTTGTTTTTGGTGGTGCTGGAGATTGAACTCAGGACTTCGTGCATGCTAAGCAAGTACTCTACCATTGAACTACACTCCCAATCTTACAAGAATATTGCTGAGCCAAGTGACTTGTAGTGACTATAAAATGAGTATCTGGCAGGCAGTTTCAGAGGAGGTACCATCTGAAAGTGTAAAGATTTGCCCAGGGTTCACCATGTCCCCGCCCTGTCTGCGTTTGAGATGTGAGCAGCCCCTTTGCAGTGTGAAAGCAGGCTCATAGTGACTTTGTGCGATATAATCAAACCCCTCCTGTGTCTCTTGTCCTCTGATGAATAAATACTTCCTGTCCCTTTGACCACCAGGTATGAAGATGAAATCAACAAACGTACCACTGCTGAGAATGAGTTTGTGATGCTCAAAAAGGTGTGTGTCATGGAGAGAATACGTAGCCCTGGGCTGTATTCTAAAGGGTGGAGCTACTTAAGTCAGGTGGATGTTATTCAGTGCCATCCGCCTGTTTCCCTAGGATGTGGATGCTGCCTACATGAACAAGGTGGAGCTAGAGGCCAAGGTTGATGCACTGATGGATGAGATCAACTTCATGAAAATGTTCTTTGATGCGGTGAGAAACTGCCTAGATTTTTCTTGTGGATGTTTTATTATCATAATGAATGGGAGATTTGAATGAAACTGACATTAAATATCAGAATTAGATGATTGACTTTGAGCCACCCTGCAGGAGCTGTCCCAGATGCAGACACATGTCTCAGACACATCTGTAGTCCTCTCTATGGACAACAACCGCAGCCTGGACCTGGACAGCATCATAGCTGAGGTCAAAGCACAGTATGAGGATATCGCCAACCGCAGTCGGACGGAAGCTGAGTCCTGGTACCAAACTAAGGTGGGTGCTCGGGTGAATATTTCCTGAGTGAGAGGGTGTACCTATCTAGGGGAACCTAGCATCCCAGGCCACGACAATGCAAAGGACAGAACTCTTGAAGTTGTATCAACAGCTACTTGGTCTGAGCTGCAGGAGCAGTGAGGTATACATTTTCCATAAAAAACCAGAAATCTGAAAAAGAATTTCACAACAGTGCTTGAGGGTAACAAGACAGTAAAGAAATCATCTAAGAACAGTTCCTCCTTGGAAAGGCCCAAACCAGGCCTAGACCCTGATAACCCAACCACTTCCAGCCCCTTTGGCAGCTCTTTCCTGTGAACTTGGGGTTCACCCCGGGTGAGCAGTATCTGTCTTCCTTTCTGGTGGCATCAGTACGAGGAGCTGCAGCAGACCGCTGGCAGGCATGGTGACGACCTGAGAAACACCAAGCATGAGATCTCAGAGATGAACCGCATGATCCAGAGGCTGAGATCTGAGATTGACAATGTCAAGAAGCAGGTGAGGAGGAGATGCAAGAGGACAGGAAGGGCCTGGACTTGGGGTGGTAGATCTATTTTACTTTCCATGTGCTCTACACACACACACACACACACACACACACCACTACCACCACCACCACCACCACCATCACCACCACCACCCAACATACATACACACACACCACCACCTCTTACCACATACATGCACATACCACCACTACATAACACACCACACACACACACATACACACACACCACCACCACCACATCACATACACACACACACACACACACACACACACACACCACTACTATCACCACCACCCAACATACATATACACACATCACCACCACCCCTTATTACACATACACACACACCACCACCTCTTACCACATACATGCACACACCACCACTACATAACACACCATACGCACACACCACACACACACACATACACACACACACCACCACCACATCACATACACACACACACACACACACACACACACACACCACTACTATCACCACCACCCAACATACATATACACACATCACCACCATATAACACATACATACCACCACCACCACTTATTACACATACACACACACCACCACCTCTTACCACATACATGCACATACCACCACTACATAACACACCATACACACACACCACACACACACACACACTACCACCACCACATCACATACACACACACACACACACACACACACCACTACTACCACCACCACCCAACATACATATACACACACCACCACCTCTTACCACATACATGCACACACCACCACTACATAGCACACCATACACACACACACACACACACATACACACACACCACTACCACCACCACTACCACCACCACCACCACCACCACCACCCAACATACATATATACACATCACCACCACCACTTATCACACATACACACACACCACCACCTCTTACCACATACATGCACACACCACCACTACATAACACACCACACACACACACACACACACACACACACTACCACCACCACCACCACATCACACACACACACACACACACACACACACACACACACACACAGAGCTGGAACAAGTTCCAGTGTTAGAATATTCTGTCACCCACAATGGCCAGGATGGATGTACTGGGTTTTTTTCTGGGGTTTCAACACTTTGGTTTGCCTGACTTAGAATTTCAAAAAGAACTGTCTCAGGCCAGTCCAGCTACCAAAATGATCCCTCTGCTCCTTTTCCCTCTGTAGTGCGCCAACCTACAGAATGCCATTGCTGATGCTGAGCAGCGTGGAGAGTTGGCCCTTAAGGATGCCAGAAATAAGCTGACTGAGCTGGAGGAGGCCCTGCAGAAGGCCAAGCAGGACATGGCCCGGCTGCTCCGCGAGTACCAGGAGCTCATGAACACCAAGTTGTCCCTGGACGTGGAGATCGCCACCTACCGCAAGCTGCTGGAGGGCGAGGAGTGCAGGTGGGCAGATGTCATGGGCTTGAGGTAGCCTCTCTCTTGATGAAGGGGAGTTTGATGAAGAGTTCCAGACAAACATACAAATGATTGAAAAGCATTCATCTGGTTCATTCTGATACATGGGCACACTACAGGTCCCCACTAGCTTTTCTGGCTTAGTCTCCACACCATGTTCTTGCGCTCTGCCTTCCCTCCAAACACTTAAATAACTGAACAGATGTGTCCTGCACTTTGTCGCCATTCTATTCTGCTTTGGTTCATGTTCTTTTCTAGACCTGGGAGTCTACACCACATCTTGCTGTCCCTACTTTCCAGGTTCCTCTTCTCCAGGAAGTCTTTCATGACTACCCAGCTGACTTAAACTCTCTTCCCTCTGGGTTCTCAAACTACTGTGCTTTCTTCAGCCTTCTAATATGGGCATTGCTGACTGTGTCTTAGGGACTTCCTTCTGGCTAAGTTCTCCCACAGAATATAGGCTTCTACCAGGCAAAGTCTGCTTTATAGAGAGTCACATTCCCACCACTGCTTACTCATACTTTCCATAAATGGGGTGGAGAAGAATGGGAATCATGATCTTCCTTTGACAGCCTGGTCTGGGTAATTCTTCTTCGTTAGACAGTCCCTCTAGAGAACACCTTCTTTTCTGACTAATCTAAGTAGATTCATGGAATGCAGATGCTTGGCTTTGGGGTGGCCCTAAAATCGTGACAATGGGAGCCAGGCTGCTTGGGGGAGTTAATTCGTATTTCAACTTTTTGTCTTTTAGACTGAGTGGAGAAGGAGTTGGACCAGTCAACATCTGTAAGTAACTTTGAGCAGACATTCATAATAATAATAATCGTGCCAACTCAGAATCCTGCTATTTCTAGGCACCAGGCAGTCCCCATCCTAATAAATGATTGTTTAACACAATAAGAAGCAAGTGGCAGAGGCATAGAACATGGGCAAGGACATGGAACTCCTGTCTTATTTCTTAAAGGGTCCATACTTGTTGAACCTGGTCCCTCATCTTTGCCCCTACCAAGTACCTGGTTCCATGCCCTGCCTCGTGTCCACCAGCTTTCTGTCAGGGATCATAATTTAGTTCTTCTGACTCATTCTGTTACTCTATGAAAAGGGCTAGGTATACACTCTATCCCAGGCAGGATCAAGCATGCGGTGCAAATGGGATCAGTCAGATAGACCCGTCTCACTCATGTTTCCTTTTCCTACAGCTGTCGTCACAAACAGTGTCTCTTCTGGCTACGGAGGAGGCAGCCTTGGCTTGGCCGGTGGCAGTGGCTTTGGCAGTGGTCTTGGTGGAGGTGGTGGTAGCAGCTACTATTCCACCAACAGTGGAGGTGTCGGTTTGGGTGGTGGGCTCAGTGTGGGGGGCTCTGGCTTCAGTGCAAGCAGTGGCCGGGGCATGGGTGGGGGCTTTGGCAGCGCCGGGGGCAGTAGCTCCAGCGTCAAATTTGTCTCCACCACCTCTTCCTCCCGGAGGAGCTTCAAGAGCTAAGGAGTGCCTGCAAGTCCCTGGCCCCCATGGGCAGCCCTTTTCCAGGCAGCCTCCAGGCCCTTTTCTTTTTTCTGGAGGGTAGTCTAGACCACGCCTACTGCAAAACCATGCACTTTGGTTCCTGGGAGGACTGAAATCCAAACCTCTGGCCTCCAAAGTCACAGTTTTATATTCTGATGTAAATCAGTCTTGAGGTCCCTAAAGCTGGTCTTGGATGACACAAGCACCCAAAGTTTTCTGGAATGTAAGTCATCAAAGCAGAGTTCCTACCCTCGCACCCACCCCAATTTTGTCCTGGTTCTGACTCCCTCCAGAGTATGTTCAATAAAATGCTTTTATAATATAAACCTTGGTGCAGAATCATTTTGTGTGCATCTACAACCATCCCAGGGACCCCATGAAGAGGAGATGGGTCCGGATGTATTTGGTTTTCTTGATGATTCACGGGGAGGATGGGAGGACAAGAGAGGGAAAATGGCATCATTTGGGTGTCCACAGGCTCTAAGAGGCAAGAGAGGAGTTTGATGAAGTCCCTACAGTGAGGGGATGTCTGCTGGGCACAAGGGGAATATCCATCGTGCTGCGCTTCAGAGAGACTTTAGAGCCCTTTGTTGACAGGGAAGCCCATTCAAGGCAGGCCAGTTTTGAAGAAATGGATAAATAAGCTTGAAAAAATGGGGCTTAACTAAGGTTGGCAAATGAAGACTATGTTGGCCCAGAACTCCAAACGGCCTAAAGGATGTTGGGTCTTGTCTAACATTTTTGGATACCAAATTTTGTTTTTGACAGTTTCAGGGTTGGAATACTTCTCAGTTTACTAAGTAATTTTGTGAATTTATCTGAGACTATCTTCCCCTCCGTGTGGGATATTGGCATCCCTTCATTTCAAAGGCTCTCCTGTATTTATGCCTCCTGAATGTGCTTGTAAAATGAATCGCTTCGGAGGGGGATTCATCCATGTAAGCCACATCTGTGCTTGGGAGAAAGTGGGTGTGTCAAGGTCTTACTTGCAGAGTACCCAGCAGCCGGGCTGTCCAGGTGCTGCTGGTGTCTGGGAAGGCATGTTGTGGCCTGTTGGAACAGCATATCTGGAGCCAAATCCATGAGAGGAAAATCCTTGCCAGATACGGACTGGGCGATCAGTAATTATGGTAACATTGGTTGTGGGGACTTATGACCATAGCCCTCAGGCTGTGGAACTCTACTACGCAGCACAATTCATTCTTTCCAAGTTTAAAAAAGAGGCCCTATTGTGTTGTATGAAATGACTGTAACCCTCCTTTCTCTGGGTAGATGCCATTAAAGGAATCCTTAGAGGTCCTGTTTTAATTTACATTGGGGCAGTTATTTTAACCCGGGAGAGAAGATCCATGGAACTCAAATTTGTCAAGCCCAATTTATAGATAGCGAAGATGTAATTTAATTTTAATTTAGTATTCATTGGCTCAGACTGGGGTATTTTAAAGGATGATATGACTGTGGATTTAAGCAAGCCAACAGTTCTGACGAGATGAAGCAGGCCTGTTCTCTGTTTTGGATTCAGTAGCTACAATCCTCATGATTTCAGGGTTATCTTGTTTACAACTAGTAGGATCCCCAGGTATAAGTGTAATTTGAGCTCCAGCATCTATAAGGTCATAAAGATTTGTCATCCAGTCTATTTCAGAAGATGCACCTGTAATTCATAGGTTCTGTGATAAAGGTCCAAAGCCAACCCACATACCTTTTGGTCTTTTTGCTATATACATTCTTTTAGAAAAGTTGGGATTCTACTTGCAGCAAATTGTGGAATTTTGTCTTATTTTTTGCTTCCCACACAATTCCAGTTCCTTCTTTCCTGTTTGTGGATGTACTTTGTTAAGAGTGGAATATTTATGCTGATATTGATAAACGTCTTCCTCTAGAAGGTCCCAAACCATTAGTACATGGGTGAGGAGTGGCTCGCATAGAAATAGTTGCATAAATTCTCATGTGCCCCTACAGCCCAGAAGACCAGGTTCTTTTTCTTTTTTCAGCAAAGGCACAAGAAGCAGTAGCAGTAGCCAGGGCATTTTATATTGTCTGAGTAAATCATTTATCTACTGGGGTTATGGCTTTTGTGTGCTATGTAGTAACTGCTGTTCCTCCACATGAGCCACCACCTGATGGGACCGTTTACTGCAGAGTTTAACAATCTTTTCCCTGAGCACTCTATAAAGGGAGGGCTGCAGCAGCCTGAGAGACACAACCAACAGTCACAGAATACAGGAAATCTACTGAGCTTAGCATCAGTCCTGGTTTATACTAAAAATGAAGAAGACAGCTCAATATGGGACACACTGATAGTTTCGGGCTGAGACACAACACCCAAGGCCACTTTAATGAGAGATCTACTCCTACACTCCTGGCTCTAAAAGCCATGTCTTGCTATGTGATTTCTGACCAAGATCAGTAAAATCCATCCAGTCTCAGTAGAACTTAGACAATGTAACAAAAGCAACACAGGTTCACACGTAAGCTTGTCACACACCACTGGCAATGGCACAGCTCAATGAGGCCGTCAGCCAGCACACAGCAGCTTGAAGTGTGTGCTGCAAGTGGGAGTAAAGCCAGACTGCAAGCCAGAGCAAGAGGAAGAGGACCCTAGTGCTGGTGAAACTGGGGAATGACAGTCAAGGAGGGACAGTCACTTCCCATCCCCCCCAAATCTCCCCCGGGTCCCAAGTTTCTGTCTAGTGGTAAGACCCTTGCCCACCCATGGATACCCAATGGGAACTCATTCAAATACATCAGAGAACTGAGACTACACAACAAATCACTGTCCCTCAGATTGAAAGGCACATTACAGAGAATCCCAACATGCCAGGGTTGGCATCTCCAGGGACCAACAGTTGGCAGGAAGATCACAACAGCACTTGACAAATTGCACGGGTTCCAGTGTCCAGTGTCAATAAGTGGAATACTTAGATCAGGGCAGCCTAGGCTTAGGGGAGCAACCGTGCTTTTGTAAGTTTTGCCTCTAGGGGCTCTACCAAGTCCACTTATGGAAGACCAAGAGAAAAATCCCCTTGTGTTTCCAGCAGGGGGAGTGGAAAATGAACTATTTTGAAACAGCCAGAGAGTTTGTTCTTAACTGTCGGCTGGCTGGACAAGCTACTTAACCACAGCAGAACATGATGAGGTTGTAGCAGAGCCTAATTGATCTGAAGGAAGGGAAATGAGGTCTAACAAGCAGTGTCGTGGAGCACCATGATGAAACCAGCGACACAGATGGGCTCATCGGTAGACCGGACACTGTTGAGAATTCGTCAATTCAGATTCTCTAAGATTGACGCAAAACTGAGAAGTACAGGAAAAGAAGACTAAGGAGAAAATGGAACAGGCGATGCCAGAACTGTGGTTGTAACAGTGTGCGGCCACAGAAGGTGCAATGCACATTGAATGAGAAAGTAAAAGGAATAGAGAAAAGCACAGGAAAGAACAACAGGAGTCAGCAATGACTAAGAATTTCCCAGTATAAATGTCAGACGCCCAAACATAAATACAGGAATATCATGTATAATTAAAAAAGCATATACGCATGTAAAAAGTTATACCTAAGCATAGTTTTTCAAACATCAGAAAATCAAAGATACAGAAAAAAATGTTGAAAGGAGCCAGAGGGAAAAACAGGCTATCTACAGGGAATAAAGAGTAATAATGACACATCCAGCTTCTTCAAAGGTGTTCTTCAGCGTACAAACAGAAGACGGTGGGGTGAGACATTCAGTATCAAGAGAAAACAAAACTCAAGCCTTCCAACCGACAATTCTGTATTTTTCTAATAGTCTACAAAAGTGAAAGCAAGCCAAGCGTGGTGACTTACACCTTTTCATTCCAGCGCTTGTCAGGCTGGGGGAGAAGGGTTGCAAATTTGAGACCAGCCTGCACCACATAGCAAGTTCAGGGACATCCTGGGCAACTTAGTAAGACCCTCAAAATAAAAGATTTCTTTAAAAAGTACTGGGGATGTAACTCCGTCGTAGAACATTTGCCTATTGCATAAAAGTCTTAGGTTCAATCGCCAGCACTGAAAAAAAGTGAAAAAAAATAGACTTCTTTAGACAAACAAACAAACAAAACCTGGGGGAAATTGTCTTATAAGAAATGTTAAAAGATGTTCTTCACTGAGTAGCAAGGTTACGTGTGTCATAAAGTGGGGCCTGCAACAACAAAAAGGGGGGGCCCGGACACAATAAAGTAAAAAGGCTTTTAGTTTTCCCCTCTGAGTGGATCTAACACAGTCTGTTCAAAATTACAAAAGCAAGGATGCCGTCAGTGTGTCTGTGCCTTATGTATGTGAAATGGATGACAGCAGGGATACAAGGATGGAAGAGGGAACTAGGGTCACTCGGTTACTGCAGAATCTGGGAGTTGATTCAGTGTCCTTTGGAAGTAGACCTGACAGCAGGTGTGGTGGTCCACTCCTATAATCTCAGCACAGTCTCATGAGCTCCTCCCTCAGCTTACTCAAAGTCCCAGCACAGTATCAAAGAACAATGTCCAACACTGGCTTTGACTTGCTGCAAAGCCACAGCAATCAAGCCAGAGTGGCACGTGGAAGAACTGACACAAATGTCAGTGGATCATAACACAAAGCTGAAAATAAGTCCTACAGAAATGTAGTCAACCGGCTTGACAAAGAGCTTTCAACAGATAGTACTGCAACGACTGGATGCCCATTAAAAGAAATTAATCTCAGATAATGACTTTCCATTCATCAAAAAATTGGCTCAGGTTTTCATCATACAATGATACAAAGCATAAAACTACAGAGCTCCTGGAGGTCCCAGAGGACAGATCCTAGATGATGTAGGTATGGCAAGGCCTTTTTAGGTATAACACCAAAGCTATGAACCAGGAAAGAGATAGTGGATAAAATGGGCTCCATTAAAAGTAAAATTCTGTTCCATGAAGGACCATGTTAAGAGAGTGAGTAGTTATACCACAGACTGGGAGAAAATATTATCACAAACATATCTGATAAAGGATATAGACTGTTGCACAAAGAATTCTTAAAGTTCGACAACTAGAAACAAGTCACTCACTTGTTAATGGACCAAAGTGCTTAAAAGACAACATTGAATTATGCATATAGATGACAATCTTATGAGAGCTGCTCAGCATCACATATATATCAGAGAAATGCAAATGAGATATCACTATATACCATGTAGAATGGCCGAAACACTGAACACAGACACCACCTAATGCTGGTGATGCTGTGTAACAAGAGGCATGCTCAGTCACCGCTGGGATGCAAAAATGGTCCAGTCACCTTGGAACAGAGTTTACCAGTTTCTTACA